ACTCTAAATGAAAAAACAACCAGATTTCCTTACATCATCCATCATAATTCCAGTGGTTTCCTGGGCGATAAAGTCAATAAATGTTTTTGCTTGTTTGGCATTTGCGTAAGTGTTTTGTTTTGGGGATTAAATGACTAAAGGTGAGGTATGTCTCTAAGAAATTAGGCATGCCACAAGGGCACTGAGAACATATTTAATCGTGCCATTTCAATATTTACCGTGACATGGCACCCTAATATATGGAATATTTCGAACCCTGTTTTAGCCTCTGAGCAAGTCTTGATAAAACTCAGTGTATACAATGTTAACAATTTTGTTCTGATCCGAATATCATGATTATAATTATTGCTGTGAGATATATGTATATTTCTGATAAACAAAAAGTGTAAATTAGTTGAATTAGTTAGCATTTTACTCATGACTCTTAGTGGGTGGTTGATAATATAGATTTATCCAAATTCAGGGGAGTGATTACTGTGACTGTCTCTTTTGCCATGTCTATCTCAATGAAAGTGGGTGGTGGGGTAGCCAAGTGGTTAAGCGTTAGCTTGTCATGCTGAAGACCCGGGTTTGATTCTCCACATGGGCACAATGTGTGAAGCCCATGTCTGGTGTCTCCCATCATGATAATGCTGGAATATTGCTAAAAGGGGTCTAAAAACCAACCCATTTACTCACTCACTCAAAGTCTCCATTTCCAGTGAAAGAGAGCATTCACAATTATTCCAAGAAGCATTTTTAGCCTGGAACCAGCAAAACAGATGTTGTGTGACTGTATTTGTGCATTGGTAATGAAATGTACGGTCTGAAGTGTCATTGGCATCACTTATTTTATGGACACTTGAAAAAATACATTGCCTGCAATTTAAAAACATTAAAAAGTCAAATTTTTATACATTTTTGCATTTAAAGTTTCAATGTCACTGGAAGAGTAGACAAAGCTCTAATGTATACATCTGTGAAGCAATGAAATTGTGCAGTGTAGTGTAAGATTTGATAATTACTTTACTTGGAACTCAGTATTTCTTGTCAGGAATTGGTTTCAATGAATATTATTCTGGTCTCTCAGGATGTTTAATTGTATTTTGTTCTACATGCTTTCTGTACATTTGTGCTTACTGGATGCACATTAATCTGTCTTGTAACACAGCAATATTTGCTGCATTGTATCAAACAGACATCTCTTGATGAGGAAATGTTTCTCTCGTTGCCTTCCCATATTTTTTAACATGGTACTAACAGGATTCAGTGCTCAAGATAACGGATGCCATGGGACTGATTAGTGTAATGAGGGATTGGTAATTAGGTACTTTGAAACTGTGCTCACAGTAAATTGAGTAATGTTTGGAATTATTGCATGATATGATCAGGGCTATGATTGTTTATAACTGGCTCATCAACCAGCGTAAATACTGTTTACATGATTGATACATGTGCTGAATTGTATGTTGGGTTCAGACGGACTCACTCACTCACTCACTCACTCACCATGCTCAGTTTGTGAGCAGGCAATACATAATCCTGTAGGAGTTTACTGAATAAAACTGTTGACTTAATACAGTAAGTGTTTTATTTATGATCAGGGATCTTGAAACAAAAATGTAATTTATTTTGTCTTTTTTTTATTTCCTGGTCGTGATAATATTTTCCTGCTTCCTGTGATGAAAATGTGAGAGTTGCCAGCTTGCATCTGAGATCATCACAGACCAAAGGGCGGTCACCATTTAGATAATCTATCCACTACTCTGGTCAGACTAGTAGTTCACTTACATTACCAGACTTCAGGAAAAATATGCCTACGCAGCAGATTTCACTGATCTCAGAATCCACAGGTCTAGTAAATGTTGTAAATGCTTGTTTGGCCCAATATAAACAGCTGTAATTAATCTATACATCTGTATATTAATGAGAATGATAAGAAGGTTTTGACACAGACCTGGGTCAATCTAGCAGCACATCTCTTAAGTCTGACTGAAATTAGGGTCATACTGCTCAATAGCCTGATTCCCACTAAGTTGGGATGGTGTGGATTTGTTGTTGCCCATGCTATCAACCACTGGACTAGACTGTATTGTCTTCAAGCTCAACAAATAGCTGCTGTTGACTGCATACTAAACATCCCCTCCCTTAGGAGCATCCATAAAGGCAGGGGCGGCGGGGTAGCCTAGTGGTTAAGGCGTTCGCTCATCACGCCAAAGACCCGGGTTCGATTCCCCACATTGGTACAATGTGTTAAGCCCATTTCTGGTGTCCCCCGCTGTGATATTGCTGGAATATTGCTAAAAGCGGCGTAAAACCAAACTCACTCACTCACTCACTCCATAAAGGCAAGGCTAGGCTCAGCAATGTGATTTATCAAGAGCATGAATTAATTCATACTTTACATAGGCGGATCCATGAATTTTCAAACGTGTGTGTCTTCGAACCCCTGCACCCCACTTGGCTCTGCCAATGCAAAACATTATTTTCAATTTGATCTTTAGTCATTTTCAAAAGAGGGGGATCCCTGAGAAGGACTGGTGCTACATTAGGCAGCTACTGTATCCCTGATGTTATGTAAAAAAAATATTTATGTATGTTCTTTTCAACTGAAGAACAGCAGTGAGTGAGTAGATATTGCTTTCAGTACCAGTAGACTCCTTAGCAGCATTGCAACTAATTGAACAACACAATAGGAATGTTCGCCCATCCACTAGAACTTATTCTGAACCAGTACTTCCTTATCCAGGGATGAGTTTTTACAGAACAACCCAATAGGGCAATGTTCGAAGCCAATTTCTGGTGTCCCCCACTAGATTGCTTATTCTGAAAGCGACAAACTCAGTCAGTCAGTCCTTCCTCACATCCAGGCAGTTTGTGACCCGTGAAAATCTAGGTTAGAATTGGTCTTCAGTAACCCATGCTTGTCGTAAGAGGCGACTAACAGAATCGGGTGGTCAGGCTCGCTGACTTGGTTGCAACATGTCATCGGTTCCCAATTGCGCAGATCGATGCTCATGCAGTTGATCCCTGCATTGTCTGGTCCAGACTCGATTATTTACAGACCGCCGCCAAAGCTGGAATATTGCTGAGTGCGGCGAAAAAACTCACTCAAACTTCTTACTAATACTTTTACAAAATACTCCTCTTTCACTCTTTCAGGCAGTTTGGGTGAATATAGCTGGAATATTTCTGAGTGTGGTGTAAAACTAAACTCACTCACTCACCCAGGCAGTTTGTGTCAGTATACATGTTGCAACATGACACCACCACCAGTCAACGCTGTACGACCGACCGCAGTTGACACCAGACATTGCAGCACTAATGATGCTAATTGTTTGTCGTATCCCGTGTTTATCGAACAAAGTTCATGTGACATTTATTGCCCAACTCTGAGCCCTATATAAATATCCTTGTTAATTTACCGGCAGAAAAAGGTGCTTTCTTCCCCAGTAGCTAACCTTCAGTGTGGTCTGCGTTAGACGGAGTGTGTGTGGACATGATCTAACTCAACACAGGTGTAAACAGTAAACATCAGACCTGGCACAGCAGTGTTGTATGCACTCCCATGTACCAAAGCATAACGGAGAGGAAAATGAAGGCGGCGTATCTCTAAGGGGCTGCATGGCCAACATTTCTTTCCAAACTCTTTGACTGATTGATAGTATTCTGTTTAAGCTTGTCAGTTGCTGCTGAATGAGTGCGTTGTCGTTCCTCGGGAAATCTTGCTTTCAGTGTTAAGTAAATTAGTGCTACAAGATTTGACAGTACAGAACATCCTGGGTATAACAAGAAGATTGTTTGATTTTCCTGAGACAGCAAAATCATCTTTAAAAAGCTCCCCTTCGCAGTGCTGGTTTATATTTATAATTAAATATGCTGTGATCATCCTATATATCATTTTGACCCATATAGTTTTTGGGCTGTTTCTCCTCTTCAGCAGTAACAGATGGTGCCTGTTAGTCTTGGTTATTAAGGAATAAAATAGATTGCCGGTTGTAAGTGTCTGAATGTATCAAATGTTTAGAGCACAAAATTAAGTTTAAGTTCGGTAGGAATATTTACTCTCAATACACTTGCTGTAGATATGGATAAATAGATATGGATAGATAGATAAATCTCATGCTGTAGATATGGATAGATAGATAGATATCTATGCTGTAGATATGGATAGATAGATATCTATAGATATAATCTATGCTGTAGATATGTATAGATAGATATCTATGCTGTAGATATGGATAAATAGATATGGATAGATAGACAGATATGCTGTAGATATGGATAAATAGATATGGATAGATAGATAGATATCTATGCTGTAGATATGGATAAATAGATATGGATAGATAGACAGATATCTATGCTGTAGATATGGATAAATAGATATGGATAGATAGACAGATATCTATGCTGTAGATATGGATAAATAGATATGGATAGATAGAAAGATATCTATGCATCAATGGATTTTCATCGATGCATCAATACTTTTTCTGAGCCGATAGTTATCGATACATTTAAACTGTAAAAGTTTATTGATATTTAGTTTTGAAAGTATCGGGTTTAAATATGATTATGTATTATCGCACAAAGATGATAAACATTTTTAATCCCGCAATCGTTGATCATGTGAAATATGATGTTATGAGAGTTATAAATGATTATTTTTCTTGCACAAAGATGAGAAATTCGAACTTTTTGATCTCTGAGAATCAAATATGTTTATCTTTTCATGGACAATTATGAAATATGAAATATTAATGTTCAAAATGTAACTAAATTTACACAATAATGCTGGGAAAATAGGTATCGTGATGCATATCGAATTGTGGCATGGGTATTGTGATAGGTATCGATTCATGAAACTTATGTATCGTGACTTCCCTAATAAATAATAATTCATTTGAGGGCCTCCTAAAGACGAAATGAGGTCATCTCATCAATAGATAAGTGTAGCGTGATCACATCTGCCATTGGTATCCTTGCCAGTTCCTTAATTTGTACTTTTGTTGTTTCAGTCCCTCAAGAAAGAAAAGAGAGAAGGTGAGTTGAAGTTCACATAATCAGCATCAGAAGGGTAACTTCTTAGAAGTTGGAGCAGTAAGGAAGGATGACAATATATGGATGAACGACTTCTTTATTACAGTGAGAGCGACGTTTAGGTGTAGGTTCTTTACTTAATTGATAACGATGCCTGCACCAAAACATCCCTTTAACTGTCATAAAGAAATTGTTCATCCAAAAATATTGTTAGCCTTCCTTATTAGAGTGAGTGAGTATGGTTTCACATCACTTTTAGCAATATTCCAGCAATATCACAGCAGGGGACACCTGAAAGGGGCTTCTCCCATGTTGGGAATCGAACCTGGGTCTTCGGTGTGACGAGCCAACGCTTTAACCACTAGGCTACCCGACCACTCCTTGCTTATGAGAAGCGGGTTCAGGGTAGTAGTTCAGTCCTGCTGTATCTCATGATGTATTTCACCTGTGCCGATGGTGACCCTGGATGAGACAAGTATAATATCGTGAAAACCGTTCGCTCTCTGGTTTAGAGTATTTACCATGTGTTCACTGGGATGGATCAATACATGCTCAGTGGCAGATATTTGTTCCAAAGTTAGTAGCAAATAACAGTAAAAAATTGCAGTTTGAGAAATTTCCTCATTTCTTATTTAAAAATAGGAGTCAATATTTGAAAAAGAACAATATTTGAACAATATTAAAAATTTACCTGCAAAAGGCACTTAATCTGAAATCTGAGATAAATCTATGATTAAATTGAAAAAGGCAGTATGCCTGCAGGCAATTACAGATAAATGGTAAGAGCTATGTATATTCCCTCGGTGAGGATGGTAAATATTGATAATATCAGATCATCTGTCTCATAGTTCCTGGTAATGCTTCACGATAGATACAAGTAAGCATGGTATAAATCCTGATATTGTCTGGTGATCCATCAACATGATGTAGTAGCTGATGACTTTTTATGCTGTGTGTTCCAGAGCTGCAGGAAGCATTCATCATGAACCAGGGGCCTGATCAGAGGCTGCCCCTGAGGATGCTGGGAGTTGTAGTCCGCTCCATCGGTTGTAGCCCTCGTGAGTCCGACCTCGCCAAGATCGAGAAGGACCTTGGTGGGAGAGGTTAGTGCTTGTTAATTTGCTCAGCTATATTCAAGGCCATGTTCACAAAGCCTAAGATCTCGTAACTTTTCTCATAGCTTTTGTACCTCCTATACTGTGGTGGCCCGTGGTCCTGTGCTCAATGCTCAGGTCACAAATCGGTGAAGTTAAGCAGCGTCGAGCTCGGAGAGTCCTTGGATGTGTGACCGTGTTTGGCAGCTTGACTCCTGAGAGTTTCTAGGACTTGAGTCCTGCCCCACAACGAAGCACATGTGACACATGTGGTCTCACCTTAGGCAAGTGAGTTTGTTCAAAATTGTCTCTGTTCACCCAGCAGGAAAATGGGTACCCGGTGGACAAAAAGTCATATGATTATAACCTTCTAGCGCCTAACAGGCAGCTTGGGTTATCCAGGGTAATAATGTGCTGTGCCTTGATTGTTAGCGCTATGAGCATACCTAGTGTGGAGTTTGGCGCTATATAAATGGACACATTATTATTATTATTATTATTATTATTATTATAGTATACTTTTCTTGTAGCATTCGTACCTTCTATACTGTAGCATAGTTGGTATGAATGTTACGAGAAAAGTTACTGAGATCTTAGGCTTACGAAAGCTTTGTGAAACGGGGCCCTGGGTTCTTGTCTTTAGGAAGCATTTGTCCACATACAAATTTTGTATATTGTTTCAGTGAAAATTTATTGACCAAAAAGGATGAAGTGTCCCTTTTATGAATGTTCTTAAAATATTGTGTTGTGCAGTGTTATACACAATTCAAACACTAAATCAAAATATTACATTCATAACAGCTGATATTAGATGAAGAGATTTGGTTTAGAATAATAATGTGGTTCAGATTACACTTAATTAAAACACATAGGTCATTTATTGTGTGTGTTGGAGCTGTGAAGAAAGCAGTATATATTTTCATTCAACCTTTTAAAAGGAATAGTGTAGCATTGGTACCAGAGTTTGAATAGAATTATTATCAGTTGTACAGTTAAGGGCACATTACTTTCAGGCTTAGCTTCACCTCTGTAAATGGAATAATGAAGCATTTTTACCATAGTTTATCTTGAATTTCCAGACTGTGAATATCTTGTCTGTTGGTATAGTTACTGGAATAATCATGTTTGTATGTTACCATGGTTACAGGTGTGACATCACTGGACTGCGGTCAGGTCGAGCAGATTGTCTCCAGCAACAGTTGGGTCCCAGAGTCTCTGGAGACACTCAAGGATGCATTCCAGACATTTGACCACGAGGGAAACGGCTTCCTTCCAGCACGAGACTTGCGGTATGTGCTCACTCACATGGGGGACAAGCTCGGTGATGAGGAGGTCGATGAGATGATCAGGGAGGTCGACCTTACTAGCGATGGACAGGTCAACTATGAAGGTGGGATATTAGAAGTTGCTACATTTATTATCCACTACTGATCCAATGATAGTATGATATGTCTGTATATCTCATTGTGTGGATTCTTCTGTATTTTCATTGGCTATGTGTATGTTATCAATTAATAATAATATATTGTCTGTTGTCTATAACCATTATTTACTGACCATAGAATCAGAGGTGATGTCGCCTCAGAAACTGCTGTCTTGTCTGACAACTTCAAGTTTACAACTAGACTTCAAAGCTATAAGGACCACCTCCGTGTTGTAGTGGTTAGAGCGTCCGCCCGAGAGCGGAAGGTCACTGGTTCGATCCCCGACCGCGTCATACCAAAAGACGTTAAAATATGGTACTTGTTGGTCCCTGCCTGGCGCTCGGCATTAATGGGTACAACAAGGCCTGGTCGGCTCGGAGTCAGTATAATGTGTCTGAGTGGAGTATTCATGCTTCACTGCGGCATGGTATCTCAGTGGACTAGCACTATAAAACCATCTTCAGTCAGGGCTGGTACAATCAGCCGCACATACACATACACACGCATGCACGTCGTCATATGAGCGAAATATTCTCAAGCACGACGTTAAACCCAATTTCACCTCACCTCACCTCAAAGCTATCAAAAGTGACCAATATATGTTATAGTGAGTGAGTGAGTTTAGTTTTACACCACACTCAGCAATACTCCAGCTATATGACGGCGGTCTATAAATAATCGAGTCGTGACCAGACAATACAGTGATCAACAGCATGAGCATCAATCTGCGCAATTGGGATGCGATGACATGTCAGCAAGCCTGACCACCCGATCCTGTTAATTGCCTCTTGCGACAAGCATGGGTTACTGAAGATTATATTAGCTATAACAATTTGGGAAAATATATCATCATGAACATGTTTTTGTATAATCACACCACTCATTCCTGTTAGTCACTTCTTATGACACCTTATTAGTTTGAATCCTTTATTGTATTCCCTTTACAACAATATAGCCTAATCGTATTAGCGTTATTGTTTCAATTACAGTCACTGAGATTTTGTTTTTAATTTTTTCTTTATTTTCATAAAATGTTATCTCTTTTTCAGTTCTCTCCAAGTCCTTGTTATCCTACATCTGATCGTCTGGTCTCTTTTCGGCTTTGTATAAAACATATCACATGCGAGAGAGATGGTTAACCAGATAGTAGGGATTCTGACATGAGGTGCCGGTCAAAGGGAGATAACTCATTCTGCCCCCAGATGTCAAGAATGGCTCCACAGTGGATCAAGAGACAAGTTCATATCCTCACATTCACTTACAGTTATTTTAATAACACATTTCCAATATTTATTTCTTAGTACTGGAAACATTCCATAAATATATATATATGTATATTAAATGGCAGTTTGAAATCTTCACGGAACTAACTGAGCAAATGATGAATTTTTTGACACATTGGTCTTCACTCTCTTCAAGCATTGTTGTTATATGTTGTTTTGAGATTTGTCTTTTCACGAAATATTATTTACATTGACTGTGTTTATCATCTGGAATATTGTTGAATAGCTTGGTACATATTTCTATAGTATACATATCTCCACGTTAGATTTAAGCCACTCTGCATTGCATTTCGATCAACTGAATACCTATAAAAAAGTATATCTATGCCAGTTTTGTAGGTATATGTAACTGTATAATCTAAACATACTGGAAAATGCTTGTCACTTTTTCTTCTGAATAAATTGGTTACTTTTAGGACATATTTAGGATATTTGGCTTGTTAACATATTTAAATATGCAAAAGTTGATTTTTTTATTTCTCAGCCATTTGAGTATTTTGTTTGATGTAGATAAAAGGTGAATACATGCATATCGTTACTTATTTAAACTTGGTTGGTTATTTCTTCACATCAAGGGGGCAGTGGGGGTAAATCATCCTGTAGATTCTGAGTGGAGCATGTACGGTAAAACTGCATAGTACCCGTGGCAGTCACGCACGCACGTACGTCACAATAATGTTGAACACAACGTTAAACCCCATTTCACCTCGCCTCGGCACCTAGGCTGTTGGTGTGAGATCCGTGAACCGCATTATTTTCCCATCTGTCTAGCCCTATATATCTGCAATGGTGAAGCTCTAAATGAAGCAAGTCTAGATTTCCTCAGTTTCAGGTTCTGAATCTCCCATCTCACTAAGAGTCTTTTTCAATTTAAAAGGAATTAGTTTCTATCAAAGTTGTATGTGTATATTCAGGGAATAAGCGTAGTTTACGTTAACACGCTTCAACACAGTGGATTATTTATTGAAAGGTGATGCCAGAGTATTTCGTCGTCATGGCGTGGTCTTGGTTCACCTCGGTACGACTTGCATGAACGCAATTCACGGTATTCCTTGGGGATTCGTGGCAGAACATTCCCCAGTGCCCGATTGTCCTTAGACTAACGCTTAGTCTCCAAATGTATGTCGTATCATTTGAAACAAATAGTTCCTTTTGAGCTGAAAAGGAGCCCCAGTTGGAGTGAGTGAGTGAGTGAGTGAGTGAGTGAGTTTAGTTTTACACCGCACTCAGCAATATTCCAGCCATGTGACGGCTGTCTGTAAATATACTAATCTGGACCAGACAATCCATGATCAACAGCATGAACATCGATCTACGCAATTGGGATACGATGTCATGTGTCATTCAAGTCAGCGAGCCTGACTACCCGATCCCCATAGTCGCCTCTTACGTAAAGCATGGATTACTGAAGATAATTGTAACCCGGATCTTCACGGGTCGCCCCAGTTAGATTGGAGATTCAGAACCTGAGCAAATTTTAGAAAGGACTCTGCGGAAGGGTAAACATTGCGGGCCAGGGGCTGTGAGACAGACTATAACTTGTCATTAGAACATAGACTATTATATGGTCTCTGTTAGAACTGACACTGAGGATGAGCTGGAACAATGCGAGACATGGCTGACTTGTCTCATCCAGCTCTGACAGCGTGGATGATGCTATTGTGCAGTATCTAGGTATTGGCTAGGTAATTCCATCAATGAGGTGGCCTGACAGTTCTATAACCTGGGATAACTTGTTCTGTATTCTCTAAACGTACGGGGACCTGGTGGTCTTGTCCTCAAAAACGATCGCTTTGTAGATTTGGGTCTCCTAGCAACGTAAGGATCCGCTGAAAGCGAATTTCCACTGGGATGCAAACGTCAACTCTCACCTTGAACCTTCTTCCCACCTTCATGTTTCCTGGTAGTGATGTAACAGAAATACCACTCACTCACTCACTCACTCACTCATCCAGTCACATACCCACCCACCCACTCACTCATATCTTAATCTTAAGTACGGCGTTAAACCACATTTCACCTCACCTCACCTCATATCTTAATGGACGCAAACATGTAGACTAAAATAAAGCTTCACACAGTAGTGACTAACATATACAGAAACGTAGTCACAAATACATTTCTAATGACGAAAAACAATTTTGAAAGTAGTGCACTTACAATTTATGTTGCGCATGCCTCCCCTCTGGGATACCAAAATGTACATAAACATCAATGTTGTTTTGATGTTCTCATATTCTATTCATTGGAAGTAGATTGAATTCTCTTCACTTTTAAGTGTTTAGTTAATTAAAACCACAACGGAGAGATAATTTCATTTCTTTGGCGTCCTTTTGTCTGGTGACACTCAATAGTCTTCAGTGTGACATACACGTTGACAATTTGCCTTCAGAGACACCGATTGACTTGTTGCGTTCTGAATAAAGCCTGTGGACAAATGGCAATGCACGTCTGTCAGTATGCTACCGGCCCCTGATGCATGCCGACACCCTAGGGTTGTTCCTAACTTCATTGCATTACACAACATGACCTGACGTCATACCGACAACAATCTGGTGCTACACATTCCGTCACCTCACGTTATACATGCCATTATCTGGTGCCACACAGGTCATCAACTGACGTTATACATGCCATTATCTGGTGCCACACACGTCATCAACTGACGTTATACATGCCATTATCTGGAGCCACACGTCATCAACTGACGTTATACATGCCATTATCTGGCGCCACACACGTCATCAACTGACGTTATACATGCCATTATCTGGTGCCACACGTCATCAACTGACGTTATACATGCCATTATCTGGAGCCACACACGTCATCAACTGACGTTATACATGCCATTATCTGGTGCACACGTCATCAACTGACGTTATACATGCCATTATCTGGTGCCACACGTCATCAACTGACGTTATACATGCCATTATCTGGAGCCACACACGTCATCAAACTGACGTTATATACATGCTGGTGCATTATCTCAACTGCCACATTATCTCATCAACAGGTCATGACGTTATACATGCCATTATCTGGTGCCACAGGTCATCAACTGACGTTATACATGCCATTATCTGGTGCCACACGTCATCAACTGACGTTATACATGCCATTATCTGGTTATACATGCCATTATCACACGTCATCAACTGACGTTATACATGCCATTATCTGGAGCCACACGTCATCAACTGACGTTATACATGCCATTATCTGGTGCCACACGTCATCAACTGACGTTATACATGCCATTATCTGGTGCCACACGTCATCAACTGACGTTATACATGCCATTATCTGGAGCCACACACGTCATCAACTGACGTTATACATGCCATTATCTGGAGCCACACACGTCATCAACTGACGTTATACATGCCATTATCTGGAGCAACACGTCATCAACTGACGTTATACATGCCATTATCTGGCGCCACACACGTCATCAACTGACGTTATACATGCCATTATCTGGTGCCTCACACGTCATCAACTGACGTTATACATGCCATTATCTGGTGCCACACACGTCATCAACTGACATTATACATGCCATTATTTGGAGCAACACGTCATCAACTGACGTTATACATGCCATTATCTGGAGCCACACTCTCCATCATTACCATCAGAAGGAGGCTGCGCCGTCTGAAGGTACGTCGTCCGATCAGACGTCCCTTCCTCACAGATAGTAACAGGCAGAAACGTGTGGTATGATGCAAACTCCAAGAACTGCAACATGAGGAAATGGCGTAGGGTTCTTTAGTTCATGAAAGTCACTTTCTTCTACACGTTGCCCAAAGCCGTTGTCACGTATACTGTAAAATGTTTTGCAGTTACCATTTAATCCGTGTAATTTTGGTTTTCAAAGCATATGAGCCAACACGCTCGTTCCCATCTTCAAAAAGTGGGTTATTGCATGATTAATGGTCATGGATATATTTCATCATGGCCTTGAGCATGAAGTCCAAATTCAATATCGTAATTTGTCATTTTAGTTTAACTGTCACGGGGCCTGTAAGCGAAGACGATTGTTGTGTCGTCATGGCCTATAAAACTCCTTTTAAAATATTTTATGAACATAAACTTTGTGTATTAACATCAACCTTCTGGAAATCAAAACCTCACTTAAATTGGTGAAATTGTTTATAAAGGAAAATATTTGTATTACATTTGTAAAATCAAATAAGGCAAAATTGTTACTGAATTGCAATAATGTAATTGGTTTTTAAAGAATATTATATTGTAAAAGTTCGGTTTAATGATGTTTACTGCAATAAAATAATGATAAAATAATGACTGATCCCTTGGGAAAGACAAATCTCGATTATCTGTCACACTTGCTCATGACTTAAAGATTTTATTGTTTAAAATATCAAAAACTTTAACTATTAATTATTGTCTTGGAGTTCTTTTGTCAAATATGAATATATTTTCCAGATGAAACCATAACATACCTATTTGTCATGGAGCTCCATAATAGAAAAGCTTTCTCCTACCTACCATTTTGGATGGAGGGAGCATGTATGCTTTTGAGATCTTTAATCTTAATGTAAATTAACTATTTCTTCCCTTTTCCTGTACCTGTAAATCATTAATTGTGAAATTATTGGTTTGTAATGATTGGCTATACTGACTATGTAAGAGGAAACACTGAAAACAGTATGGCATTTTGTCTACTGCACACGCGCACGCTGACAAAAACAACCCACGTGCCTCCATGTCTGAAAATATTCAGAAATGTTCTTGAAAATGATGACAAACTTTTGTGCTTTTATCATGAAATGGTCTCCATCCATTTTTAATGGGCACTTGATCTTAGCCGCTTCACTACAATAAACAAGCTTTCAGACAAAGTCTTGCAAGCTATCACCCGGCACGCCACACACATACACACGGATATGTGTGTGCTACCAGTTCGTTCCTCATACCAAACCAATTCATGTTCCAAAAACAAGACACAAATAAAACCTGTTGTCATCACATCTATCGATTTTTCAAAGAAACTCACTGTACCGTAGTTACCATATACACACGAAAGCTTGCTGATTTTTCTCATCACGTATTTAACAATTTTTTATTGTTTTTCGGTCACAGTCATAAGCAGGGCCCATTCTAATAGCCTCCCCGGACACCACTCCCAAGCCTCTTTAGAAACAACTGCTAAATTATTTACTGTATATAGTCTCAGCTTGAAGGCAGCTTGAACACCGAATGGCAGTGTTTGCATTGTTATAACAGTTCCAGAATCAATAGCAACGACAATACACCATCGCGACGTTGCAGTCAAGCAGAGCGACGTCACCAACCAACCCGAACTTTCTGGAGCACATACAGCGTGTTTACTACATAAAATCAATACAGTTGATTTGTCGTATGTTTCCTCTGCAAGACTTTACCTCGCCGTATATGGAATTCGCTCATACGTTAGGCTGTCCAAAGACATTTTTGTTCATATTTTTAAAAATGGGTAACTGCTGTGTCTAGGAGACATTTGTTCTTGTCGTTGTTGTGTAGTAATTCGCGAGTATTGATAAACAGCGTCATAAAAATATTTCAATATTCGTTGTACAATGGCGACAATACGGTTTGCAGTATTTGTATAGTGTAACAGCTTTGTTATGGCGCGGTGTCTTCATATATTGTGAGTCTGGAGTATTGGGCTTTGTTGTGTTGTAGTGAGCGGAAACTCCGAGCCTTAAAACGTCAGCTGGTGTGTAACACGCGTCGAAGGTTTAATAGGCGGGTGGGCGGGTTGAGGTTTTAATGCCTATTTCAACAGTGTTTAATTTGGTCACGGTAGTCAGTGTTAATTCGGACCAAAATGGTTTGATCAATGTTTGACCTTGCGTTGATCCTTGCGTTATTCAAACGGTTGAAATTTGTTGCAAATAAAACTATTTATGTTCTCTCAATTGTACCAGTCCTCTTGGACTATCTTCGCGGTCTATTGGATAGTGCTCCTGCCACTAGAGCGGAAGGTCGGTAGTTCGAATCCCGGTCGTGTCATACCGAAAGACGGTGCTTGTTTTAACCCAGCCTGACGCTACTGGGTACGTACAAGCAGACACGCATCCGCCAGATCTCAGCTTGGAGAAGATCACAGTAACCTATGCATGATAATATAGTCGACTTAAAGGGGACCTAATAATAATATTGTGTCCATTTATATAGCGCCAAACTCCACACTAGGTATGCTCATAGCGCTAACAATCAAGGCACAGCACATTATTACCCCGGATAACCCAAGCTGCCTGTTAGGCGCTAGAAGGTTGTAGTCATATGACTTTTTCCACCGGGTACCCATTTTCCTGCTGGGTGAACAGAGACAATTTTGAACAAACTCACTTGCCTAAGGTGAGACCACATGTGTCACATGTGCTTCGTTGTGGGGCAGGACTCAAGTCCTAGAAACTCTCAGGAGTCAAGCTGCCAAACACGGTCACCCATCCAAGGACTCTCCGAGCTCGACGCTGCTTAAGTTCACCGATTTGTGACCTGATCCTTGAGCACAGGACCACGCGTCACTACCCTCGAGCTAAATGATAGTCCAAGCAAAATTAATTCATGTGCTATGCAAGTGCAATAATCTTGAAAGCGACCTTAAACTCCATGCATCTTTCCCCTTGATCAGGGGTCGGAGATCACAGTAACCTACGCATGACATTAGAGTCGACTTAAAGGGGACCTTCCATCGGGCTAAATGGCAGTACATGCAATAATGAATGAAATCATTTAAGACCCACTGTGTTGTAATTTAACTCAATCTGATGCTGTATATCGATCTGACACACACACATATATATATATAAATGAAGAAACAATGTTTTCAAACAAGTTAGACTGAAGATCTCGACTCGGAATTAAGAAAACCCCACCAAAACATATAAACAGAACGCATTCGTCTTTTAAACGGGGATCGTGTAGTTTCATCGACGTACAACATCTTTGACTGGTATTTAGAAGCTGCGGCGTCTGTGAAGTCATTACTGACTTACTGATCTCAACTTTTAATAATTGATGTTATTACCTTAATGGCAACTTCCTTGAAAAGGCACCAGTGTGTGTACCGAAACGTGACAGTAAAAGATCACAGGATGGTGTTTGAGAGCAACACGAGTAAGTAAAGTTAAAGAGGGCTATCCTGAAATGGAGGGTTCATATTCTCTAGTCTTACAAAGTAACCTATGCGATACATAAAACTGTGTTATCAGCTCTATGTCGACTATTAGCGTTTTCTTAGTAAGTCATTAAAAAGGGCTGGCAGACTACATACGTCGATTATGTCTAATTACGCTTATTTTATCAAAGACTTGAACAACATTTGCTAGGGCTGTCATTTAGGCCATAAATAACACTTCTGTGACTGATGGATGTCATTTCGCATGATGAGACAAACTTGCGTCTTTGTGGGATGTTTCGGTGACTTGTATTCTGCAGATACAAAATTTTATTTTCTAAATTTATATTCATAAGAAATCTCTACCAAAAGCGGAGCCCAAAGGTATGTGTTTATGAATCTCTATCAAATAGTGATGATAAAAAATGAGAAGGTCAGATATCTTACTCGTCGGAGTCACCCGTCACAGACACATGCAAAGGCAAGGTAATTGTTTGTCTAAAAAAATACAGAACTCACTGAACATTTCAAAATTGGGATTTACATTGGACATAATTTCTTTGACTAATGCGTCAGATTTGGGCATGTCCCTTTCATGTCTTAAATAGAAAACAACAACAACAAAAACAAACCCAAAACGTTCGGGTTGCTTTGCTGTTATCTTGGGTGTTGCAACCCTGATAGAATAACGTTTGGGCAAGAGTCGAACACTGAAATCCGTTCATGCAGGCATGACATTAATTTCTCACCAATAAGTGTTGTAGGTGAGTGAATACAGTTTTACGCGTCTTTTAGCAGTATTACAGCTAGATGACAAGCGACACCAAATGGTAGGATTCGAACACGTGTCGTGACAAATGACCTCCTCAACCACTAGGCTACCTTCCTGAGGAGTGAGTGAGTGAGTTTAGGTTTACGCCGCTGTTAGCAATATTCCAGCAATATCACGGAGGGGGACACCAGAAATGGTCTTCACCCATGTACCCATGTAGGGAATCGAACCCAGGTCTTCAGCGAGACGAGCGAACACTTTAACGACTGGGCTAAAACTGGGGTAAACACACAACCAAAAGAAAGCATTAGATGATCATGAAAAGATTTATTCAGAAAACGAAGACTCATGAAATCACACACTTGAGTATTAATAAATGACAAGCGTCAAGATCCGTTTGTTGGTTCTAGATAAAATCAACTCTCGATTTTGTGTAAGATACTTTACTCCATAAACTGACGACTAGATTCTCCTTCTACTGAAGAGACCACGACTGGATTCTCATTCTACTGAAGAGACCACGGCTAGATTGTCCTTCTACTGAAGAGACCACGCCTAGTTGTGGTCAATAACAGAGAATACTATTCAAGAGAAAGCATTACTGGTCAACTATTTCCAACGCTACTACATTCGCCGTTACTACAATTAAACTGGAAACACATTTCCAAGGATTTTTCTGCGGTAAATAATTTCACCGGACAAAGGTAGCATTTCGCCCCGAAGTTTATCACCTCGTTACAACACTTTTTATATCTTTGTAGATCAAACCGAAAAAAATGAAGACCAATTTATCAAAGAGGTCACAACAAATAATTTTTTCATTGTATTTATGGCCTCCTGCCTTTTCCTGAATCAGTGGCTGCCTTTCCCCTGAAGGTTTGGAACATGTATGGATGAAGCATCCTTGAACAAGGTGTATTTAAAAAAACCAAATTATTCTTTTTAATCTATACACAGAGTCATCTCTTAGTTACATGCACTTGGGGGAATACATTTCAGGTGCTCATGTCAATCAAACGAAAATTTTATAGCTGTTTTACTGTTTTCCAAAACTCAAAAAGGATAATTTGGCACCTTTTTGCTCCTATGTGACCAAAAGAAAAAAAACACTTTTAATTTGAGTAGATGGATTAAAATTGACACCCTGTGGAGTACGAATGAATTCTGTTTTTTTCTGTTTTACACTCTAACTATATTTTGTCTGCAACAGGGCAACAGGGGACAAGGGTATTTTGGTCGTAAACTCTCATTCCCACACTCACTGTTTACTGTGTATGGAGCCGAGGAGAAGGTGACTTTAAATAACTGGGTATTAAGTCCTGATCCTTGTTCCGTGTTGTGTGACTTCGTTGTAAATGGAGCGAAATGAAATATTTAGAAAAAGTAATAAATAGAGCTGCTGAGGGCCTCTTCGACGCCTATTTCATCATTGCCACAAATTCTGAAAAATAAAATAAATAGTTTAGCAATATGTATTGTTGGTTTTGTAAGTTTCTATAAGCCGGAAACACGTCTTTCCTGTCTGGCTTTCTCAAACAAATGTGCCGACGCGACCACTGTTTACATTTAATGGCGTTTTCTTTTCCAGTTCAAATTGCAAACTTTGGTTGTTCGTCTTTGAAATGATTGAATATGGTTTGTTAAATACCAGACGGGGAATATAAAAATCGATAAATATTTTGTCCATTAGAACAAAAATCAGAATATGATTAGTGATATATACACCATCGAGATTATCGCTGTAAATAAAGATAATATTGATCAGCACGAGTGTATTTCGAAACTGTAAAAGAATGTGTTTATAAGCAGCAACAAGTAACGCATACACTACCAGCCAACGCAACTCTAACTCTCGCATTCGAGGATTAGAACTATATCGCCTTAAGCTGACGAGTGTTTGACGTTGAAGGGAATGAGTGAGTTAAGTTTTACGCCGCTTTAAGCAATATTCCAGCCTAGTGGTTAATGCGTTCGCTCATCACGCTAAAGACCCGGGTTCGATTCCCCACATGGGTTCAATGTGTGAAGCCCATTCAATGAATCAGTGTTTGCCCTTAACCCTGACAAGCTGCAGGCCCTAAGGTCCAGAACCATAAAAAGTTGTGGGTCCTGATCTGAATGTGTAAGCCCTAAATTTTAGCTACAATATCAGCATCTCCCAGCAAACAAAAATGAAACAACTAACAAACTGGCGTTTAATTTAACTCTAGAGACTGATTAGTCTTATATAATTTACAACAAAATCAACATCCATGTCAAGATCCAAGTCTTCCCCGAATGATAGTCGTTTCACTTACAGACAACAGCTGCTGATAAAAACTTGAAATAACTGAATGATATTTTCTGAAAGATAATACTCTTACTTATTGGGTTTGAAAAAGCTGTCGGCCATAAGGACCCGTAGAAAACAAAAGCTGTGGGTCCGAGTGGTTTTCAGCCGTCTTCGGGCCTAAGGACCGACGTTAATTTCGAACGCTGAGCCCATTTCTGGTGTCCCCTGACGTGATATTGCTGGGCTAATGCTAAAGGCGGCGTGAAACTACACCCACTCTCTCCAGACAACCTAGTTTCAGATAGCAAATAAAATGTTAATTAACTGCAATTTATTAGAATCCGGTTTTTGAGTTGCTGATTGTTGTCAGCTGTGTCACCGTTTCAATACCAGAACATTTGCCAAGTACGTTACGCATGATTACAAAATAATAAATATTTTATATTGGTGCACTATTTCCATATGCTATAACGCAAATGCAACAAATGCTACCATTTGAACCCACACCCTCAGAGTCAGGCACCTAATCGCCAGCAATAATAACGCGTTTATGACAAGTCCTATGCTGTCCCCAGTCTAAGTAAACTTAGGCTCAATATTAGGATAGCAGGATAACGAATAATACTGAGCCTAAGTTTACTTAGACTGATTCTGTCCCCAAACCGCAGTTGCCTTCCAGTAGCTCACTCCCATCTGTTGATATCAAGGTGAGGTGAGGTGAAATTGGGTTTAACGTCGCACTGGAGAATATTTCGCTCATATGACGACGTGCATGCGTGTGTATGTGTATGTGCGGCTGCTTGTACTAGCCCAGACTCAAGCTGGTTTTATAGTGCTAGCCCACTGAGATACCATGCCGCAGTGAAGCATGAATACCCCACTCAGACACATTATACTGACTCCGAGCCGACCAGTCCTTGTTGTACCCATTAATGCCGAGCGCCAGGCAGGGACCAACAAGTACCATATTTTAACGTCTTTTGGTATGACGCGGTCGGGGATCGAACCCGCGACCTTCCGCTCTCCGGGCGGACGCTCTAACCACTACACCACGGAGGCGGTCTGTTGATATCAAGTCAAATACGTAATATGATATTATAACAATAAGATATCATATGTGTAAATGATGTTCGTCGAAATTTTGTTCACAGGTTTGTGAGGACATTCGATGGCAGTCTGTCTCCCGTTCCTGCTAGTCCCAATCCGAATTACAAAAGCCTAAAAGTCCCAAAACATTCAAAGTAAACTTACACCTACTACTATATTCGGTCATAGTATGTATGCTATTTTAATTTATGGCTATATTATCTAAAATTGCTAATAGCTGAAGGGATGGTGTAAATCCAGCTAGGGTCCATGCAGGAAGCAATGTACTGTAAGTCCCCATGGTCCTAGTATGGTGATCTACCTTCAGTTGTTGGCAATTACAGCCTGTATTAATTAATATATGGTATTATCTTCTATAATTAAATGTTTTAGATTTACATACTAGTATTATATTCATATCTGTGATATTTTAGTTATTTTTATTGTCCTTCGCTGACAGGTTTTTATAATTTACCTTTATTTATTAAACAATTATAACTTGTTTTTAGTCACGATATGACTGAAATATTGCCGATGTGACTTAAAATCTTTACTCACTCACTCACTCCAAACGCCCAAAATGAAGCAAGTCTAGATTGTCCTCAATCTCCATACCACTGGGGCTTCCTATCAACTTGGAGATAGTTCTATCAAAAATATATAAGCGTTAATCTTATTAGTGCCGATGCTTGACACTTGACGGCGCAAAGGGATCGTGTTAAATGTATTGTTTTGGCATAAAATATATTGCAAACTTTTACAACAGAATTTGATCGGTCTTGTGTGCCCCAGTTTACATGTCTGTGCAGCTCCCTCCACCTCGGAGAGATCTAGCACCACAGCCCATTGCTACCATTTTTCCCTGGCTCTCCGAAATCCCAAGGCGACCATTGCTGTCAAAGTGGCGACAAAGCTGCGAGATGATATTAATGATTGTACTCTGCTGAAGTGATCGTAATGCAATACACGCTTAATCGCAGGCCGCTCTTATTTTACGCTGTTACTACGTCAGATACACTGTCACGGGAGGGAAGTACATACACACGTTTGACTAAACCTGATACAAATAACAACTTGTTATTGGATAGTGTTTGTTTGTTCTATAACGCCTGGACCAGACAATCCAGTGATCAACATCATGAGAATCGTTCTACACAATTGGGACACGATGACACGAGTCAATTATTGGATAGTGATGTTGATACGTACGTCATGGTTGCGTTTTGGAGCTTCAGTTTGCAGTGTTTCAGAAACTGTTTTCATCCAAGCAACGTTTCGGATAAGGTTTGGAATAGTTTTCAACCATTTTTCAAGCGTTTATCTTTTGTCAAGCAGTGTATATGATCACACGTGTGAAACACCACTCCAGAGAAAGTCAGATGTATTATATCTGATTTCACGGATAGTGAAACCCTGTTTATTCGAACGTTACCATTAACACTAAGAACGTTCACTGAGACTTGACGCAGCACCAGATTAACTGGGCGCCGTTGTACAAAGCAACCTTTGTGCTACGACAGTCGTGAGCGTATGTTAATGTATGGGAGTTACGATCACCTTAGCCCTAAGATCTCTTTGTACAACGGCGCCCTGATCAGAAACTCAAGAAATTGTGCAGAAAATAGGGATCCCGGTATAAGAAGTGTATTGTTTTCATTTTGCCGTCGGTTTTTTTGTTGCTTATTTTTGTTGCTTTTCGGCGTTTCGATGTTTGGTTTGTTAGTTCTTTGTTGTTTTTGTAGTGCTATGCTTGGTTGGGAGGGTGAGGGGAGGTTAGAGAGGGAGGAAAAGGGGGTAGGACTATAGTCCGTTTGACTTCATTTTAGACCTTCATTGCTCACTAACACAAAATCTAATAAATGCAACAAAATCAAACTTTGCACAGTCACATGAAATCGACAGACCAACTCTGATGATTTCTCTCACAACAAAATAATGATCGTTTGTTAAACAGCTTTTTTATTCGGGTATGCAAAATTATGAGACAAATCATCAGAGTTGGTCTGTCGATTTCATGTGACTGTGCAAAATTTGGTTTCGTTGCATTTATTAGATTTTGTGTTAGTGAGCAATTCATCGGTCTAAAATCAAGTCAAACGGACTATAATAGGGTTTCACGGTGCCATTTGCCTTACCATTATAATCGATCTTGCCGTCCCCGTCAGAGTCAGCCTGTGTCACCATATCTCGGATCTGGGAGTCTGTGATGTCAGGGCACGTGTCCTTCAAGACCGCCTTGAGTTCGTCGGGAGTGATCTTGCCGTCCCCGTTCTTGTCGAACTGTTTGAACATCTGCTTCATCCTAGTATCCGACTTGAATTTTGTGTCCACTTTGACCATTGCGCTCATAAACGCAATGAACTCATTGATCTCGATGGTACCATTCTCTACAAACGATAGATATTTATACATGACAACCTGAAAAATTACTTTTAGCATTCTTTAAATAAATATTGTTGGGAGGGTGACAGAAATGGGTTTCGCACAGTGTACCCATGTACTAAACCGAACCCGCACCTTCGGCGTAACGAACGAACACATTAACCATTTAGCTACCCCTATCCATAATTGTAAAAGATGTATAGATATGCGCATTTAATATACAGTAAGGAGAAGAAACATTATGATTCACGATGACTTGGTTAGCACATGTCATGCTATCCACATTGCGTAGATCGATGTTCATGCTGTTGATCACTGGATTGTCTGGTCCAGACTCAATTATTTACAGACTGCCGCCATATAGCTGGAATATTGCTGAGTGCGGCGTAAAACAACAAACATACAAACAAACAAACAAGCATTAGCGATTTTGACCACCTGTGAGCAACGTTTACTGACGATCACAAGAAAAGTTACCGGTTTCTACACTCACTGTTCAATTCAATTCTTTATTCTCATAAACCACCTTGGTGGTACAAATACAAATTCAAATTCAAGAAGGCAGTAAACAACATATTAACATTTATTTTCCGACAAGAGATGATAGATGTAGGATATATTTTGATAGATTTACTATGTCTCGAGATGATTTTACAGATAATATTTTCGTGAACTTTGTTTCATTGGGAAAAGAGGTTAGGTGGGAGGGTAAATATTCTTTCCTCAAAGTATCTAATGCTCTGCAATGAAAAATATAGTGGTATTCATCTGCCATGCTTTTAGAAGTGCATAGTTGACACGTTCTCTCGTCCCTTGGAATATTATACCAGCGGCCCGTCTCAATAGGTAAACTATGGTTACATGTTGTAAATCTCTATAATGGTAAAGAAATGCGTTTTGGAAGGAGGAGATATACATGTACATCAAAATTGGGAAATAGCTTTAGGTGCTGATAGTGTATACCCTAAGGACTAGAAATAATGTCATTGTGCCAGTTTTGGATAAATTGATCTTTAAGAATATGTTCAACTTTTGAGACCAGCCACTGGGTAGTACAAATTGGGGGATTTTCAAAACATACGAGAGTCCAGTATTGTCTAATATATGTTTAACGTGCGAGAGCCAGGGATTATCTTTTTTATCTATTGATCTTTGAAGTGATAAATACTTGCAAATTAAGTAAGAAAAGTGACCGGTTTCTACACTCACTGTTGGTGTCATTGTCGGCTATGATCCTGGAAGCCCTCTGTTCAGTCACGCGTGATTTTGAAAACTCCGACAACACCGACGCCAACTCCCTGGCGTCTATTTGACCATCGCCATCTTGGTCGAACTTCCTAAAGATTTCTGAATAGTCTGAAACGAGGAAAGTCAACATATATCACTCTGAACAGGTATTTTAAACAATTCTTTGCCCCAACTATAACATAATGTTACAAGAGATAAGGTTATATGGTTTAGGACGTTCTGCTATAAAGAGATTAGACGTCAAGACATAACTGAAATTATACAACTGAAAACCGCAAGACACACTCTCATTGGTCACGTTACTCTTGATTGACAGTGGCTGAGGAAACGTACCGTCTACTTGTTTCTGAGTAAGTCCGTATTCCTGAAAAAGAAGAACAGTTTTATTACTACCTTGGAATCAAACTGCTCGAAGCAACCGAATCAAACCAAAAATCAAATAAAAAAATTAACAAAGAAAATTCTAATTTTCGTATATATTTTAAAAAGTGGAACAAGGTCAAACGTCAGTGACGTTTTGTAGGAGCAAGGTCAGGGTGTCAAGGACGTTTAGCTAAATAACGTAAGATTCATACTGTGACGTTGAGTTGAACAATGTCAATGGCGTACATTAATTAACAAATTCCTCCTCGTTGTTTATCCAAACACAAGATACCACGATACAATCTGTCTATCACAAACAAAAATGCTTTCCAATATTTTGCGTTTCTTATAGAAATGAGTACATGGTAAGTGTTTAGCCTGTTAAGTGTAATGGCGGTCGGGCGTGTACAGTAGGTTCGCATGCTGCGAGCCTCGTCATATCGATTTAGGACAGTCATCAGAGATTGCTACTTGGCGGAAAGTGAAATGTTTCCGACCCCCCGGGAGTACCGCGCTCAACCCATCACTTGACCGTGTTCACTAATACAATTGATGGGCGAATGCTGGTTTTAACACCAGTGTAGTTTTTGAGCTGCAACTATATAGTATATTAGCGCATTTTTATAACTGCGTTTCATAGATGCATACGTTATTTCCCAAGATACGAGAACGTGCACATCTGGTCTTTCTTGTGGGCCTCGAGACGGAAACAGCTTTGTAAGAGTTGAGAAATCGATTTGTGTATGTGTGTATCAGTGTATGGGACTATTATTCAGACCTCATTTTTGTATATGGTGAACTTCACATAAAGAGAATTTAAGTGAAGCAGCATATTGGCAATACTAAACCTATTGGCAATTCAAATCAATCAAATGTAAAACGTCTAAGGCAACACAAGTAAGTTTTTGTTTGAGTGGCATTCTAGCAGTTGGTCGTATAGAAATGACAAGACTATATGGATGATCAACTTCTTTATTTTCACAATGGCGACGTTTCGGTATAGATTCTTGAAAATGCTTGAAAACGGTATAAGAATCTATACCGAAACGTTGCCATAGTGAAAATACAGAAGTTGATCATTCATAAAGTCTTGTCAACTCAATAGAAGTCATTGGATTTTGTCCAAACATATTTCCGCACTAACACGACTGTGACTCAGTGTTTTATCAAAGACCTAATTTAGAACAATTGACTTGCCTTTGCGTGTGTTTCTGACGAGTGCAACCCATGGAGCAAGATACGCTCACCTTTTCGCGAACACCCTCTATCATCACTGTTCGATACGGATTAATAAACATATACTTATCATTTAGACTGAATCATACAATGTCACCTTCATTTAATAGAAATTTCGTACGATTATTGAAGTGGTTTGTTTGGCTTATATATTCGACAGTCGAGACGTTCATGTATCCTACGAGGGTTCATGATTCGCACCGGGCCCTGTATTGTTTGATTTTTAAAACATTCAAACGCGGTATAGTTAAATTCTTCTGTAAAAGTAGTTGAGCTTCTTTCGATTGATCCGACTTCCTTAGATCTATGAATACAATTTGAAAAATATAAGTCATTTCATCAAATAACATATATTTCAGTCGTGAGGCACCTATTGATTTAAACTATCTGTCATTTTAAATGAAGCATGTAATTACTCCGGCAATGGTTGGTCGAACCCAACAATCGTTTTATTCATATAACCGATCTTATATCACAATAAAAAACACAATATTCTAATTAAAGTTATTTTGAAGTAAATGATGTTGCTGGAATATTTTAAAGGGCGTAGTAGTCAGTAAATATTTTAAAGGGGGAGTAACTGCGATCGGAGTGAAATCTACAATGATTGCATAAATATAGATGAACATCAATCGATACTCCACACTGAAATGTTTACTCTAAGTGCATAATATATGATGCATAAATGTGTCTGGTTAATTTGTAATTGCTTTGTGAATGCAGGTCAACTATAAGGAAAGGTCTTTGGATATAATTATTAGACGGATTCATTGACCGGTGTTGAGTATACGTGGCAAGGGCGATCACGTGTTCATCAAAAGCCCGTATTCGGAATAACATATCCTGACGCTAACAAAAGGATGTTCTGCATGTTATTGTTCGAATGTATTTATTTCCTGTCTCGGTCTGGGTGGTGTATAGATTTTGGTTGATAGCTGTTCAATACACAGTGCCCATGATTGTGTCAATATCTGGGGATATCGATCTCAGGATGAGGTCTGGTAGCGACACCTGTTCAACAAAGCGTGACGTACATTTAATCAAGTTACAACATACACACACGCACGTGTACACGCACGCAATACACACATATTCGGCTTTCCTGAAAGATAACGTTATGAGTGACCGGTCTTTGTGATCAAACCACAATGAACCATGCGATCGGCATTATTCCGCCAGTTACATCATAGATGGAAACCATTTGATGTCTCGAGCGACAAATATGGATTCATTTGTTTCTCACCCGAGGCGTCCATGTTAGTTTGAAGCGTTCAGATATGAGACACTCCGATTGTGATTCACCGATCCATAGAGCATACTATGTTACGGCATAAATGTTAACAATATGGACTTTATGAAACGCCTGTGAATTGAACTCTGTTGTCTCGATATGTCATTTAAGTCGATGTCACGTGATCCCTGAAGGATCCATATTCCCGAGGCAAAGGAGTTATCTGACTAAAATCAGGATGAAACTGGACTTTTAGAGTCGCCTCCCTTGCCTTGTGAAGGATCTTGGTTATCACTTATTGCAGGAGTCCATCCCATATCTTTTGTCTCGCAGTACGAATAAAAATGATGATAATAATCCATGATATTTTAATAATGAAGATTTGTCCATGCCTGATTTCATTCCAAATCCATTAGTATCAGGTCAACTGATTAGTGGTTTTTTCGATTTTCATTCTCAGCTTCCTGTGGATCATACAACCAAAGGCGGCTAATGTCAAATAAATTTTTGAACGGTCACTAAAACCGTCCTACCCCTGAAAGTAACGTAGCTTCATTTGCCCGATGTGTCACCTTGTGTTAAACTTATATCGATGTAAAGGAATTCGGATTAACAGGGTTACATTGTAAAGACAGGGCAGGGCAGAGCCGATTTCCTGAATATACGTTTTCAAACTTCAAAAGTCACTTGTCTGATCCTCTTGTGAGTCCCTCTGGTCGATGTGAAAGCGTTGTAGTTCAAACGTTCACTCTGTACGCCGTGTATATTCACAGCATGGGGACAAGTATCAAACAATGTGTGGGTTTCCGGGCCATTAAGTTCAGGAATTCTTTCTAAATATCGGCGTAAACCCGAACTTACTCAAAATCCCAGATAACTTTGAAATACTATCGAGGTTTCAGTAGTGACGCTAATGACTCAAAGTATTCGTCTTATAGATATATCGAGCAAAATGAATTCGAGTGGAAGAGGTTAACATCTACTTTGTAATTCTCGAATATTGCTGTAGTTGTATTAAACTAAATTTACATCTCGTATTCTTTAGCCTCGATTGGTTGCATATTTAACAGACCGAAACATTGATGGAGCAGGGGCATATATTCAGCTGTTTGTAGCTCAACATAAGCAGCAGCTAGTAGCTAGTAGTTCATTTCTAATATCACCACTTCGTCTTTCGATCCCCGACCGCGTCATACCAAAGGACGTTAAAATATGGTACTTGTTGGTCCCTGCCTGGCGCTCGGCATTAATGGGTACATTCAAGGACTAGTCGGCTCGGAGTCAGTATAATGTGTCTGAGTGGGGTATTCATGCTTCACTGCGGCATGGTATCTCAGTGGGCTAGCACTATAAAACCAGCTTGAGTCTGGGCTAGTACAAGCAGCCGCACATACACATACACACACGCATGCACGTCGTCATATGAGCGAAATATTCTCCAGCGCGACGTTAAACCCAATTTCACCTCACCTCACCTCGTCTTTCGGGTGACAAGTTCGACAAGCTTCCTAAATATGCGCTGCGGACATTTCCATCCATTTCAACAACTCAGACTGACTATAGATAATATGATATCTTATAAGAAACGTCGTGTCTTTTACCATTTTATCTCATCCCGAAACACAATTTTTTTCTTTACCAAACAGAATATAAAACGCTAATGCCTGGGACAAATCAGTCACTATCAAACAATTTTTTAACGAAACAGATTCCATTGCTCGTAGAGGAGCGCTGGGGTAGCTCAGTGGTTAAGGCGTTCGCTCGTCACGCCGAAGACCGGGGTTCGATTCCCCACATGGGTACAATGTGTGAAGCCCATTTCTGGTGTCCACCGCCTTGATATTGCTGACATATTGCTAAAAGCGGCGTAAAACCATACTCACTCACTCCCATTGCGCGTAAAGGGCAAATAGTGGTGAAAAGTTTATGAAAGGAAAACTGAACGTCATTGACGACACTAAGTGTTCGCGAAAAGGGTAAGCATGTTCTGCCCTACCGACAGCACCCGCCACTCACAGAAAAATAAGGAATACATAATGATTGTAGATGAACAGTTCTGATTTGATCTGAAATTCTAATGTTACAGCAGCAGTTCCTGAGAGACATGAAAAAATTAATATGTTCGTATCATTGAAATATGCATATGCATCATGACCTTGTCCAATAGAGGTAACAAATTCTGGAAAAGAACAAATTGACCAGCTGACAGTAATGGGAAACGAATAAGAGGGGAGAGTGGCGGGTTCTGACCGCAGTCCTATCAAGAATATATTGACTTTATGTCCTTGTGATGCGCTAAACAGTCATTAAAAACTCTCTAAGGAATGGCAGTAGGGCTGAGCGATTCGAACGCTCCCCAAGGAATGACAGAAACTATATTCCTTAAACTGTTTGTGATTCTGAATGGAATGCAGTATTAATACCTGAGCTATACGAATTATGGATAATATGCCAGTTATAACAACAGGAACAAAGGCAATTTGTACTAATTATGCATTATTTACCAATGTGCAGGAATAATGATCTACGAGCCTATACATTCTGTCGTACATGAACATATGGTTGGGATATCACAGCAGAAAACTAAGCAATCAGGCGTGGACCATTTGCAAGTAATTACTTCTAAATTACGTATTACTGTAATCATAAGCTATTTTCTCAATTAATTGAGTCATGGGTTCAAATTTCAACTGTCGAATAGAATTTATTACTAGTATTCAGATGCGCAAAACGAATTAAAAGCTTAAACACAAGGCTAGCCTGTTTTGCACAGTGTAACAACATTAAGAAAATGTTAACTTACGAAATTTTTCAAAGTTGATGTAAATATTTTAATTGTAACCGTTGACATTAAAGTATGAAAGTTTAAATTGTTAAAAGAAAAAGTATGATGATAAAATAGCTAAAAGTTAATGTGTAGAGAGAATAGACAGAAATTCCGACTTACCATCTTGTGACAGTGTTGTAAGCGCCGCGTGCAGTTGTGTGACTGAAGCCGGACTGGTTGTATTCTCCTCACACCGACACTGACGCGCCCTTCAGCTATTACACATCCATAATGGATGCACGGTGTCAATGCAGCGTCGCAGTGCGGCATGCGCAGTGGAGAAATTAATTGCTCTCACTTCTATTGGGCATGAAAACCAAAATGGTGTATGTTATTTTCCATACTAGAGAATTGGAGTGCTGTTTCAAATATTGATTATTTTGACGTTTTCGTATTTATTTTGCTGTCTTATTTGAATGGTAGAATATATGTATTGCAATGTACAATGTATAAAGGGCAATGCGTGTATCGACCTAAGTGTATTAAAACATTACGAATGTGTGATTGTGAAGGGAATATGCTTTTAACATTTATCCTTCTGTCTACACGTAACTGATAATGTTTTCCTCAACAGGTGTTAGACAAAATGGTAGAAAGAAAAAACTAACAGGATAAATAATTCTGCATCTCTGAGCTAAACGATCCTCTGACATACAATGGAATATTCAAGAGCCATAAACGATCGCTACTAAAGCTTTTGTTCTTTTGATATTCACGCGTAGCCGCATACACAAGCACTATTACAATGACACTCTTCTCTAAAGCTGAATACGATATTTTCATAACGAAATGAAGTCAAATATCTGCATTTAGCACATGAACATGTATACGTCTCTTCATAACGATTTCAAACATAACTGTACGCTCAATGCGTCATTTTGCGCTCCCCAAACAACTAGCATTGTAGCGACATGAAATACGAGACGTGGATTTAACTCGTTAATGGAAAAAGATAGTTGAATTTGTTTTCGCATTGTTTGTGGAACTGGGGTATATTGGAATCAATATTTGTCCCGCCGGATGGTGGTCCAGCTCGGTCTTGTCAAGCGTGGTCCATGATCCATCAGGAAGCGGATGCTGGTGAACTGTACGTTTCAGATGCTGCTGCTTCATCTCGTTAACGGTAATCCCATTCGACCAACGCTATGCTTGTAGTTAATAAACGTGTTATAACTTGTAAGTGTGATATGAACTTTGTAAGTTGAAGCCTCTTTAATGTCTATAAATGTTTCAGTAATGTTAGGTAGACATGGCGGATGAAAAGGTTGCGGGGATGGGGGGATGCAATAGAAACGGGATCGATACAGTTAACTGTACACTTGAGTATTTGAGGTAGCGAGGGAGGAAGGCTGCGAGGCATACGTGATGGAACGGGAGTTTCAACATCCATTCGTAGTATGTTAAATGAAGCGTATTAAACAACGAGCTTGGGAACGCAGGACACCCGCGGGCCGAACAACTATATGTCGTAGGTCAGCTGCACCGACTTGGTTTGGAGTTATCTCCCCCTGTAGTCGTAACCGCATATCCATGATATTATGCAAGCCAGGGGAGCTGAATTATTACCGGCTCGAAAGATCATTTGCAACAGTATGTAGGTTAATCATATACAGACCAATAAATATAGACATATACGCATTGTTGGAGTGGGAATGGTTCCATTTCATTCTCGCCATAACTGAAACAGTTTGAAAGGCTATTGAATAAACAGCGAAATGTTGATTTCATGTTTCATGTTGATACTGTAGGTCACGGTGTTGGTCCAGTAAATCATAGTCTTATTCCAGTAAGTCATGGTTTTGATCATGTAAGTCATAGCGTTGGTCCAGTGAGTCATGGCGTTGGTCCAGTGAATCACGGTGTTGGTCCAGTACATCATGGTGTTGGTCCAGGACATCATAGTGTTGGTCCAGTAAGTCATAGTCTTGGTCCAGTACGTCATGGTGTTGGTGCAGTCATGGTGTTGGTCAGTAAGTCATAGTGCTGGTTCAGTAAGTCGTGGTGTTTGTCCAGTAAGTCATGGCGTTGGTCCTGTAAGTCATGGCGTTGATCCAAGAAGTCATGGTGTTTGTCCAGTAAGTCATGGCGTTGGTCCTGTAAGTCATGGCGTTGATGCAGGAAGTCATGGTGTTTGTCAAGTAAGTCATGGTGTTTGTCCACTAAGTCATGGCGTTGATCCAGGAAGTCTTGGTGTTTGTCCAGTAAGTCATGGCGTTGGTCCTGTAAGTCATGGCGTTGATCCAGTAAGCCACGGTGTTTGTCCAGTAAGTCATGGTGTTGGTCCACTAAGTCATGGTGTTGGTCAGTAAGTCCTGGTGTTGGTCCACTAAGTCCTGGTGTTGGTCAGTAAGTCATGGTGTTGGTCAGTAAGTCATGGTGTTGTCCAGTAAGTCACGGTGTTGGTCAGTAAGTCATGGTGTTTGTCCACTAAGTCATGGTGTTGGTCAGTAAGTCATGGTGTTGGTCCACTAAGTCATGGTGTTGGTCAGTAAGGCATGGTGTTGGTCAGTAAGTCACGGTGTTTGTCCAGTAAGTCATGGTGTTGGTCCACTAAGTCATGGTGGTGGTCCACAAAGTCATGGTATTGGTCAGTAAGTCAAGGTGTTGGTCAGTAAGTCACGGTGTTGGTCAGTAAGTCATGGTGTTTGTCCAGTAATACATGGTGTTGGTCAGTAAGTCGTGGTGTTTGTGCAGTAAGTCATGGTGTTGGTCCACTAAGTCATGGTGTTGGTCAGTAAGTCATGGTGTTGGTCAGTAAGTCATGGTGTTGGGCCACTAAGTCATGGTGTTGGTCAGTAAGTCATGGTGTTGGTCAGTAAGTCATGGTGTTGGTCAGTAAGTCATAGTGTTGGTCCACTAAGTCATGGTGTTGGTCAGTAAGTCATGGTGTTGGTTCCACTAAGTCATGGTGTTTGTCCAGTATGTCATAGTGTTGGTCCACTAAGTCACGGTGTTGGTCAGTAAGTTACGGTGTTGGTCCAGTAAGTCAGGTGTTGGTCAGTAAGTCATGGTGTTGGTCCACTAAGTCATGGTGTTGGTCCACTAAGTCATGGTGTTGGTCAGTAAGTCATGGTGTTGGTCCACTAAGTCATGGTGTTGGTCAGTAAGTCATAGTGTTGGTCCACTAAGTCATGGTGTTGGTCAGTAAGTCATGGTGTTGGTCCACTAAGTCATGGTGTTTGTCCAGTATGTCATAGTGTTGGTCCACTAAGTCACGGTGTTGGTCAGTAAGTTACGATGTTGGTCCAGTAAGTCAGGTGTTGGTCAGTAAGTCATGCTGTTGGTCCACTAAGTCATGGTGTTGGTCCACTAAGTCATGGTGTTGGTCCACTAAGTCATGGTGTTTGTCCAGTATGTCATAGTGTTGGTCCAGTAAGTCACGGTGTTGGTCAGTAAGTCATGGTGTTGGTCCACTAAGTCATGGTGTTGGTCGTAAGTCATGGTGTTGGTCAGTAAGTCATGGTGTTTGTCCACTAAGTCATGGTGTTGGTCAGTAAGTCACGGTGTTGGTCAGTAAGTCATGGTGTTTGTCCAGTAAGTCATGCTGTTGGTCAGTAAGTGATGGTGTTGGTCCACTTAGTCATGGTGTTGGTCAGAAAGTCATGGTGTTGGTCAGTAAGTCGTGGTTTTGTCCACTAAGTCATGGTTTTGGTCAGTAAGTCATGGTGTTTGTCCAGTAAGTGATGGTGTTGGTCAGTAAGTCATGGTGTTGGTCGGAAAGTCATGGTGTTGGTGAGTAAGTCGTGGTTTTGTCCAGTAAGTCATGGTGATGGTCAGTAAGTCACGGTGTTGGTCCACTAAGTCATGGTGTTGGTCCACTAAGTCATGGTGTTGGTCCAGTAAGTCATGGTGTTTGTCTAATATGCCATAGTGTTGGTCCACTAAGTCACGGTGTTGGTCAGTAGGTCATGGTGTTGGTCCACTAAGTGATGGTGTTGGTCAGTAAGTGATGGTGTTGGTCCACTAAGTCATGGTGTTGGTCAGTAAGTGATGGTGTTGGTCAGTAAGTCATGGTGTTGGTCCACTAAGTCATGGTGTTGGTCCACTAAGTCATGGTTTTGGTCAGTCAGTCATGGTGTTTGTCCAGTAAGTCTTGGTGTTGGTCAGTAAGTTTTGGTGTTGGTCGGAAAGTCATGGTGTTAGTGAGTAAGTCGTGGTTTTGTCCAGTAAGTCATGGTGTTGGTCAGTAAGTCATAGTGTTGGTCCACTAAGTCATAGTTTTGGTCAGTAAGTCATAGTGTGTGTCCAGTAAGTCATGGTGTTGGTCAGTAAGTCATGCTGTTGGTCCACTAAGTCACGGTGTTGGTCCAGTAAGTCATGTTGTTGGTCAGTAAGTCATGGTGTTGGTCCACTAAGTCTTGGTGTTGGTCAGTAAGTCATGGTGTTGGTCCACTAAGTCATGGTGTTGGTCAGTAAGTCATGGTGTTTGTCCAGTAAGTCATGGCGTTTGTCCAGTAAGTCATGGCGTTGGTCCACTAAGTCATGGTGTTGGTCCACTAAGTCATGGTGTTGGTCAGTAAGTCATTGTTTTGGTCCAGTAAGTCATGGTGTTGGTCAGTAAGTCACGGTGTTTATCCAGTAAGTCATGGCGTTGTCCAGTAAGTCATGGCGTTTGTCCAGTAAGTCACTGTGTTTGTCCTGTAAGTCATGGCGTTGGTCTAGTAAGTCATGGTGTTTGTCCAGTAAGTCACGGTGTTTGTCCAGTAAGTCATGGCGTTTGTCCAGTAAGTCACGGTGTTTGTCCAAAGCCAAAACATGTGCTCTAAAAGTGCCAAATATTCTTTTATTTCTGTTGGTTTCATGTAACATTATACAATAAGAGTATCTTTATAAGTGGCTCCAAAAGTGCCAAATATTCTACGAAAATGCTTTACGTTTTGTGGGTTTGAATGGTTTCATATGTGACATTTTGGAGGAATTAAGTGGTCTCAAATGGACCAATTCTTTATATGGACTTATCAGTAGAGGCTCTGGCTCTGGGTGACCATTTCATAATTTCCATTGTTTTGTTTTTTGTGTTTGGTTCATAATCATAATAATACATATGTTATTAATTTATCATAAAGGTCTAAGTCTTTCTAAAGGTTTAAGTCTTACTAACTGTGTAATGACATCCTAGTCAAGGATCTCAGTTATTGGAGGTCACATGAGGTGTTTAAGCTCAAGTAGTTCACCTAAATCTTGTTTTTGTTTTATTTTGCAATAGTTTATGTTAACACATGTTTATATTTGAGTTGAATCTGACTTAATCACTGACATACAATAACAATAGTTATAAACTGTAT